AATAAATAAATAAATAAGACGGGTCTGTATCGATCCACCTCTTGTCATTTTGCCAGCCGATCAATATTTTCTCATGTAAACGGATACCTAACTCAATAACCCAGATATCATTGTAACTGAAAGAGATAGTTATGTAAAAATCGCTTTTTTTTCGACTCACAGTTTTTTTCTGAAAGAACTCTATCCATCCTATTCGCCTGAAAGTTTACAGCACTAAGGAGCGAGGATGCACTGTGACTGCACAATACACTACCAACATTTCTGGCTTTGATGGATGATTCTTTGTAGCAGACGCTAATAACACTCTAGTTATGTAATTGGGCACGAAGAGCTGTTTAGTTCAACTCTGCATCGCATGTAGATACGTTTCCTTCAACATCTCAGTATCCTTACACCATAATATAAGTGTGCATACACGCCATCCTTTTGTAAATAGTTACATGATCATAACTGCAAGAGTTTTTGGCTTCTTCACATGTTGTCGAGTTCATAAAGACGCATAGAAAATGTAGAACAAGACGTCCATTGAAACATTTGTTCGAGATCCTGCTTAAGGAAAGATATTTCGATTGTGACCAGGATTCGCCTATGGCATATACACGTCTGAAATGCAATGACCGGAATAAGATAATTGATAAGGATTGAGGAGTGTATGTGGGAATAGGCTCGTTTGTTTGTGTCATTTAATGTGCCAATTGCTCTTGTGGCCAATGTTGTGACGAGGTTGGGCAGTCACGGCAAAGGAAGGATTTTTGCAGGCCAAAAGATTTAGGGGAAATATTCAAAGCAAAAGTGACTTTCTTTAAACCTGAAAACTATCATCGTGATAAGCCATACTTGTCCCTGGTAACTCATTCTTATTCTAATGAGCTAGTCAAGTGATAATGATAAAATATTTTACTACATTAATGTGATGCATAGGCTGTGCACAAAACTTAAATTAGACTATACCTTTAGAGCTGCTACCAATCCCTACACATAACAAAATGTTAGTGAGGAAAATAAAATTTGGTTGAAAAATTAGAATTCGGCGTGGGCTGCATAGACAAGATTC